CTCATGTATAGTTCTACATTTTGAAAAAACGGAGCATGTATACGATGCTAAACATGATCTTTAAAATAATTTAAATAAAATCGTGTTGTTAATCGTCTAGAAGAACGAGGAGGAGGAGGAGGGGAGAAAATCTGGCGAAATGGATTTAAATAAACATAAATCCATATATGGTCGCATTCAAATGAATTTATGGGTTTCATTGATGAATTTGAAGTGTTGGCAAATTGCAAATCCAATATAAACAACAAGAAGCATTGACTCCAGCTTCTTGTACACACATATGTATAAACATAAGTATAAGGTAATATTAATGTTTGTTGGTGGGTATCCATCTCTATATGGTGATCAATGCTATCCTAAAAAAGTTCGCCTCTTCTCTAAGAGGCAGAGAATATGCAGCTCTTCACTACCAAGTCAGAGAAAAGAAGAAACTGTTTAGTTTTTGTAGCAGTTTTAGTTGAAGTTGTATCTGTGCATATATATTTATATGCATAAATAGGTGTATGTGTTATTTGTTTTACTTAAATGTTTGCGCGAATTGATTTTTGGTGTAAACGATGTGCAATTTTAATGGATTGTCCAGCAGATAAGAAGTGAAAAGCATTTTTTGTTTGTTACCCTCATAGATTTCAACTTCACTCACCGAACTTTGTTTTATTTATTTTGTTTTATTTTATTTATTTTTTCTTTTATAAACACTATTCCATATCTTCACATTTGTTGCACTAAATGACTGACAGTCTTGTGCTCACATAGCATTTGTATTCGTTGATTCATAACCAGATTAATATACATTTCGTTGTGTGGATCGTTGGAAGTGAATTTTTGTTGCTACTCTCCATGTGTGTCTTTTCATTTTCAAGCAATTTAATTGAATGTGTTTCCAGTTTGTCACGCGTTACTCTCCTTTAAATGTTCTCTGGCTACTTACACTGTTTTGACACAGCGCTTGATATATACGTGATTCTGAAGTTGAAATATAAACCACTTTTGATGGTTCGATATATTTCGTTCGAAAAAATGGTGAAAATCCATTTATTTTAATATAAACAATTTAAGACTACTTTTATTCGCATCATCGAAGAAAAACGTTTGCCGTTCCTAGAAGGAAGTTTCAAAAAGTCATATTCATCACATATTGAATCGATTAAAGCATGTCTATCCGTACGTCTAGCCGTCTGTCCATATGTATAATGTCTCTGATGCACACTATTTCTTTTGCAAACAGGAAAATTTCACCTTCAAATTTAGCAGATCTTACATGCAGGATAGTATTGAAAATAAGCCAAATCGGTCAAAAGGATACGCCTATACAAAGTGGGCATACCTTTGTTTTTTGAGCACTCTACCCATTCCACGTAAACTAACGTACAATAGACGTACGATAAAGATTTCCATTTATGTTTCACAATAAATACAAAAAATCAGAGACGCCACGCTGTCCTTCGTATATTTAAGGATGAGAAAGAGGAGACCGTGAAAATGTTTGTATCAATATTCACTTATTAAGGGAGAATTTTCATTCATTAATTGCTCTGTGGTGTTAAAGCTTGAAGACGAACTTTGAAAAAAATGTGATTCAGGTCTTTAGACGCATCATAACTGGTTCTAATATCAAACCCAAGACCATCTAGAATAATTCAGAATAAATTTGAACATATAAAATCCCATCTCTTATTGGCTTCGATAAAAATTTTATATTTTTTATGATTCCAAGTCTCCCAATTCTTTCACAAAATCACATTTTTTATTAGGGAGGCAGAAACGCTAAGCAGTATTTTCAAACCAGCAATTAAATCACTTCAAAGCACAGAACAATAAAAATCATTTAGTAACGTAAACGCGCACTTTCCAATCTATAACAACTTTTTACCGTCTTTCTAGCAGGCTGACTGGGGGAGCGCAGTGGGACAGCGTTACCTTTGTACACGTCAGATAAAATTGAACTTTGAATTACGTAGTACTTAAATTTTGTAATAACTACTTAGTATGTTGGATGGTTAAGAACTTCTCAGCAAACTTTAGAAAGGCGGTATGCTTCTATTGCGTTATATGCTAGAGTATATTCATAATAACAAATCTTGAGTTGTAATCTAATCTACTAACCTGCCAGGGCAACATCGTTCAGGAAAAAAAGATTAGAGAATAATTGGACTAGAAAAAAAGTTTAATATTCCTGGAAACGCCGTTGTGTCTTCAGACACATCTAGCACTTTCAAAAGTTCAAAATTTAGAATTTCAATTCTTAAGCGTTAATCACAAAAGATGGGCTAAAATCAATTAGTTTAACTAACCATAGAAATGGTACTACGTATAAACTGAGCCTAATTTCCATAAAAAGTTTCATTCCATTGCGAACGTTGTGAATGAGGTGAACACTGTCTACCCTGGCGAATTCATTCAATACGGCCAGGGAATCGCACCTTTGATTTATCGAATAAAAGAATTTCATAGGTTTTAGTATTTGTGAAGATCGTTGCCTAATTTTAGGATTATTAAAATAAAATTGAAATTGCTTGTTTTCAGGCAAATAGTTTATGTATTTTATATAGAGTATCGCTCTCTATAAATAATATAATAATTTTTGGACAACACACATAGAATACAAAAAAGAAGAGGAAGAAGCAATTATGCCATAAATACCGTATTGGTTTTTTAAATAAATATCTGGCTTCCTAAGGTTCATTAGCCTACGAAACAGTTTTGAACTCAAGTAATCAAGTGTTTTGCTAGATATGGTAATTATGTACAGATGTTTTGCCATCTTCATAGGGTTATTTGTAAATTATATGATCCAACGTAGATCGCAAAATATTATCAATTTTTGTCCAACCTAATATTCGCCATCAACTCGTGTTTCATAAAAATTCGGGCAACAAGGAAAATATTAATAATGATTTATATTAAAAATGACACGCACCAACCAACATAAAACTTCAATACCGCCTTACGTGAAACAAAGTAAAACCGATTGCCAACAGTTGAACACAACTGATAAGATTACAAACGTGATTAGAAGCAAAAAAATGAAAAAAGAAAAACAATAACACCAAAGCAAACGTAACAAAATCAAATGTAATATTAATGTTTGTTTGAATAACACCATTCATTTATTTAGACAGACGGCTATACAATATATATATGTATATATTCTTTATTTCCCCATCGAATGTAGTGTACTACTGAAAACAAAAAAAATTTTTTTTTTTTTTTTTATAAATGTGAATTTTATCATTTCTGCTTTTTTTACGTAATGGAAAAACGAAAATAGCAAAGTTTGTAAATCATAAAGTAAAACAATTTATCTTGTGTTGCTTGCAACCCCCAACCATATTTTTTTCATGAAGTTGGCTCACCCCTGCCGTCAAGCAAATATAACATAAAACGAAAACATATTATCCAGTATTTTAATGTTAACAGCCGTAAATCTTTACATTTGTAAAAAAGTTTTGTAATGACATACACAGTGAAATATCACATCATCGGCTACGATGAACAATTTTTTAACAAGCAATGATGCTTCCACTCCATGCCAATCTTTACTTTGAAAAATCATTAAAATTTCTCTCCGAATTTTGAAGAGAAAAACACGAGACGGCGAATAGTAGACTCTTCACTTGACTACGAATTTCAAGTTTACTCTTGCTTTCATGAGTACTGTCTTTTTATATAAAATCATTCTTTGACATCAAGATGACCTGCATCGGTTTATCGGTAATATTTCGCAAAAATTTTATTTTTAAAAATAGGCATCAAAGCGTACACAATTGGCTGTCTAAAACTAGGCTATAAAAATCCTTTTGATTTTACCTGCAGACAGGTAAAGACATTTTTCCCTGTTTAGACTTGGATTTAATTTTGCTGCGATTAGACTTTACTGTATACTTAAGGCGATTCCTTGTATAGTCGTAGAAAAGCTAGAAGAGAGTCTTCGAAATAAAAATTCCTTTATCTATAAATGTGCAACATGTAAAATTTCATCGGTGTTTTTCCTTCTTACACTGTCTTCGCTTTATATTAATGAAGTTAAACTTTTCCCCTCCTTTTGACTTATTTTTTTGGTTTCTTGTTTGTTTCACTTGGTCTTCTTTTCAAGTTCCTTAAGAAAATTTATAAAAATTTATTTTCTTAAAACTTTGTACTTATTTATCGTTCCCAACACATATGTAATAACTTACGTTTACTCCTCATATGCTTAGAAAGTTTCAGTAGGGGTTGGTTGAGTTACAAAAAGATGCGGGTTTTTATTTTGATTTGCTTTTGATATGAAAATCAGTTTAAAATCATTATATGACATTTGCTGATGTTCTTCGTCACATTCTTTAGATAACATTATCCTCAATATACGCAAGGATACAAATAAATATATGCATGAATTAATGAATATATTTGACATGTATTATTATGTTAACATATACGATGCCATCATTTATGATAGTGATTGCAAGTCGCTAGCTTAAAAAATGTTTAATAAAATGTAAATGTTTTTTGCCTTTCAACAGATAAGAAAGGACGGTTTTCTTCTTCCTAAGAACATACGAGAAAATTTGAAAATGAATCCAAAATTGACTTGGACTTCTTTTACTACTACTAAAAGAGCGTAAACTGGAACAACAAACGCAATAGCCTTAGGTGCTTAATATCCGGGCAACTGAGGTCCATCTGAGGTCATAAATTTTCCAGCTGACATCTTGCTTTCATCTGCATTCTTTTCTAGTAATCCAATCAGCATTTAAATCGATTTAACCTAAATTTGATTGAAAACATGTTTTTCTCATTTAACGCTATATCTTGGCAAAGTCGTTAAAAAGTTGCGTCGATTATTTAATGTCCGCCCTCGCTAGGCTTGGACATAATTGGTGTTTGCTGTTTGCTGAGATTTAGCCAAAGACTACTTCGATGGAAAGGGTTTTCAATTTTTTTGGCATCCTGATTGATGACAACACTTGGATAATTTGTTAATTTAATGAAGAAGCAGTGACAATGTACATTTTACACACTATTATTTATCAAAATTCTATATATCGACACATTTCAAAATAATTCAAAAAAAGTAATAAAAATAAATAGCTGCCATAACAATCAAATGCGCGTCGGGACATCGCCAGTGTCATTCTTCTTTGGAAAGTTATCTAAACGAGCGGATTTTTGAACATCGTCAAGCTCGCAACAAAACATTACGCCCATGTTAGCGTACCGGAAGGTCGAGCGTACATTTGCCAACCAAGTAATTTTATGACAAATGTCTTCGCAAAATACAATGTCGCCCTCTTCGTAAAACTGAAAAAAAAGAGAGAGGAATTTTTGTAAAAAGTGACATACGCCAGGTTGATTTCCGAAATTCATCACCCCAAGTACCCTTGAAAATTCCCATTAACAGTAAGCGCGTCAAAAAACCGATATCTATAATTTATCAACAAATTAACAGGTGACCGTGGAATAACCACCAGTTTGAACGGTAACACGTAAGCTAGTATTTGCTTTATGTAAGTTAACTATATATATTTTTGCGCGCGCGTCTTCGGACTTAGTTATTTGTACTCAGAGTAAGAAAATTTTCGCCATTTTGCAATTTTTTTATAATTGACGAATAAAGTCGCTCCATAATTTTAAGCATTGTCGGAAATATGTGGACTGTGTATCTATTTGAGAAAATCTATCAGCCGTTGAAAACCCCCTAGGTGATGAATATATGTGTAGGCATTGTCTTTAACCTCATAAAACGGTGAGTTGAATGCTATGATCGCAAACTCTTTGCTTGTATTCTCTATCGGCTCCAAATAATTCCAGATGTAAGCAGGTATATGACGGTCGTATTTATCCACTAAAACCTTCATATCGGTAGTGTTGTCGCAACCACTGCTATCCGGCACTTCTAGTTTTCCTCCAATACCGCTAATAACATTATAAGCGGCCTTGATTGTATGCTTCTCCAAAGCGTTTCGATATTTCTTCCAGTTACCTAAACGTAAGTTTGACCACCAAGTTACATTCAGTAGAGAGCTAAATTTTTGTGTTATGTCTTTTAACTTAATATTTTCAGCGAGCGGAGCGTAATGAAAGTTTCCGAAAGTGAACCAATCTTCAAATAGTTTATCCTCAAAGAGAAGAGGTGTTAACCTAAAGAAAAAGGAGAATGTATTTAACCTTGTTTAAATTAAGCAAAAAATAAAATTATTTGCCGTCCGGTATACATGTCCAACTCACCCTTCATCCTCTATAGACTGGAAATGTTTAATTTCGTTTCCAAGAGAATAGTTGCTAAAGTCAAATGTTGTCTACAACGAAATGCGCTTAAAATTAAAATGTTTGGTTTAAATAAGGAAAACGCGTTCTAATACTTTGCTAATCTTGAACTCTTCGGGTTGTATGTTGTAGGCGACCGAACTTAATGAAAATCTTCCAGTATCGTAGCACAGTCCAGCAAGAGGTGTAGGCGATTTGTTCACGTTTTTCTTGGCTATTATATACGAAGCGGTGTATTCTGGGCACCAACGGAATACCTGTGCACTTTCGTATAAAGTCCATCCGAGTTTTTTACACTCAAAATATAAATTACGAAGATCAGGATAATTGCGGTGAGTGGTCGTGGTACTGTATGAATGTGGCCGGTACATCGACCAATCTCCAACAAGGTGTTTGTTGTTGACTTCGAAAATACCATTTTCAACACAGGTAAGTTTTATACTGGCACGATCAGCTAGGTTCGAAGGCCTTCAGAGATATACAACTTACTAGACAGAGGTTATTGGTTTCTAAGGAACTTAATACAACTTACAGAGAAAATCCATCCAAGCAATGTAAAATAATTGTTTCACCCTTCTCAGCATAAATATTATTGCTCTCCTTTAGGGATTTATAGGGTCTTAATATCGTACGACTACCGAACGTTCTTTCAAATATCGGCCGAAGTGCGGGATCACTAGGAAGACTTAGAAAACATATCTCACTTTTCACTCGAACAATGCACAGCCCAGCAACGAACAAAATAAATAATTGATATCGAAATGAGGGCATGGCGGCTTAATCTAATTGTAAACCTCCAAGAACAAAATATTCCAACCAACTGACCAAAATTGCTTATATGCTATCTTTATAAGTACTTTCGAAGTTCCCTCAATATTTTATCATTCCAAGACAAACAAAAAAGAAGGAAAATATAAGAAATAAGTCTTATTAATATATTTTTTATTCACATTATGAGACATGCATTAAATTTCTCAAAGATTTGTAACGCGTAGAAGAACTCTTAGAAGATTGTATGAAATATTCTTCATATTCTTGATCGAATTGAAAACGGCGATTGATTTATCTACGTTTGCCCGCCTGTCGAGCTCTTCGAATAAAACGACTGCTCAGACAAAAACGATGCTTAGCCAGACGTGAGCAAATATAAGTGCATCGTCCACTAATCGACGCTACCTAAACTCTTATCCCAACTATGTACAAATAAGATTTCAAGTGTTAACAAGATTTTGACCACTCGTTGAGTCATAAAAAATAATGCCTGTCTCTTGAAAGCAACTCCTACAAGTGTATATAGAAGATATGCAGGTTGAGATTTAATTTTTCAAGACTTTTCTTGTACTTAATAGGGTGTGCAATGTGTTTTCTTATTACTAATAAGACACCCTCGCCTTATCTAGTCTACGCATGAAAAATGAAAGTGTTTTAATCATTTTATGTAATTTTTTTTTTTTTTTTTATATATATAATTATTGTAGACTTTTTTCATTTCAAGACAAGTTGAGTTTTAACATGTAGCTTCACTTTATGAAAATAAGTTTACGAGAAAACTATTTAAAAAGTTAATCTTATCTTTTACTCACTCAATTAAGGAGAAGAAATCGCAATTTTCAAATTTCTGCTCTTCTCTCTTTCAGAAAATGTTCCCTCTTTCGGAAAACATTCTACTCATTTTAAAACAAATCCACAAACGAAGCTTGACCGTTGAATTATCGTAAATTCTTTTAACGCCTTTATTTTCACTTCTTAAGTGTTTGTAATCACTGATAATGATTCGCTTATTACTATTCACATATATTTTGAAGAATATCGTGCTAAGGTAATTCACTTGACAAACATATCGATTTCTTGCAATTTATAGGAAAAAACAAAAATGCACTAAGAACTACCCGGAAAGTTGGTCGATGCTTTTTCAACCAAGTCAAATTGTTACTAGCACTTCTTGATGTAATACTAATACTGTTCTTTATGTTCGTGGCACCCTTGTGCCTTATGGATATAAGAAAATTTGTAGTACATATACATATACAAATTTAAATTTATTTTGGAAGAGGTCTTAACGATTTTAATATAGCGACCAGAAATTGAGAAAGAAGCACGTAAACAAACCAAAAGAATATCTCGGTTATATGTATGCATATGTATATATCTTTATTGTTACCGCAAAACAATATATTTACGCATATTATAAAATTATAATTTATTTATCAAAAAAAAGTGAATTCTTCGGTTGAAGGAAACATTAAAACTAAAAACATTATAATCGGGCTAAGCCGATTATTTTACGCCACCTTGTCTAGTGCAATTCTTCTTTTTGTCGTAGCGCCGAAAAAATAGATCGAGACGGTGCAAATTTGGTATAGCAAATTTTTTCTATCCTAAATTACTATTACGGTATGTTTTTCATTCATTACAAAGCATTGAATGTTAAACTTTTTTGTCATATGAACTTCAGTTTTCCTTATATAAAAGGGAGGGAGTACAAAATATTGCCCGAGCTCGCCTAAGCTTTTCACATCAATTTAGAAGAGATTTTGAAAATTGCAATTTTTTCATATAACGACTTTTCAAAATAGGGCGTTATGTGGGAAGTGGGCAAAAAAGTGGAACGATCCAAACTATTTTCAACAACGTTCACCCTTATGTCGAAACACGTTAGTGTACCAAATTTCATCAAAATATCTCAAAAATTGCGACCTGTAATTGGAGAACAATTTATAAGGACAGAATTCAAACGGATAAACAGGCTTAGATCAATGCAGAAAATGAATAGAGAAAGAGGGAGAGATAAAAGATGCATTCATCTTATGCCCTTCTGCATGTTACATATGTCTGCAGAAACTTAATTGACGCTGTACCATAAGTGGTGTGAAGTGTACAAAAACAAAACAGTCTTATCGTTTTAATGTCGTTACCACCCATCCGTCTGATTGCTTGACGTCCGACCTTTATATCATACTTTGTTGCGTGGCTTGTGGTAGAGCAGATAAAAGACACTCATTCCAACACATGCTTTTTGGTCATTTGTGTGCTCTTTGCACGGTCCACATATGTACTAAACTTACTCGAATAACGAAGAAGGCATATTACTAAACCGATCCACAATCTCGCACAAACGAAGAATTTAATCTCTGGCGTCTATTACATTCATAAGGATTCATCTAGTGTACCCATTTCTACACCTGGACACATGTAGATGAATTTCCAAAGGAAGATAAAGATGAACCTCTTCAATATATTTGGTTTTACTAAGAAAATTTATCATGAGTAGTTATTAATTACATTTCAAGGTAGTTATGCTATTTGCTGTATTTATACCCTACCCCACTTATTGCAACATCCATGCCAATCAATTCAGAATCGCTGTCTGATTCGTTCTTATCTTGTCTGTCTGTCAGTCAGTTTTATATGCGTTTATTCAACCCGCAGGTCGCAAAATTTCAGAACCTGCAGGCCGCAATTTTCGAGCGTTACTGAAAATGATTCAGATCGAATCACTTTTTCGCCCACTTCCCGTATGAGACTGTAATTTTAATAGTCATTATATGAAAAACTGTATTAAGTAAAGCGGTGTAGTCTTTCCAATAAGAGGCAGTGGCCCATTATAATGTTTTTACTTGTTCCTATATTTAATTAACTTACGATACTGCATTATTCTCATATTGAAAAGTTCCCTATATTCATAATGCACATCAATTAAGCACCTCCCAGAAGGACCTGAAACTTTCATCGATCGTTTATTGTACTGGCTAAATCATTTACATTTAAACTGATTCAAGTCGGTCGGTCTATTTTTGTCTTAAACGAACTGATCCAGGAATTTGACTAAACTTGGTATGCTTGGCATGCAAGCATCAATTTTCGATCATTTTTCGTATAACACCATATTTTGGAAAGCTCGCTAAAAAGTCGGATAGCGTATTTAACGGTTGGCCTTGGATGAGTTAATTTGTTGGGCATAAACTGTACTTGCGGCTTATTGAGACTTTGTTTATTGCCGAATAGCAGAAGATTGCGTTAACGGAAAGAGCTTTCCAAATTTTTTGGAATTCTGGGTGATAGCGACATTTAGATCCGTTAATATAATGAACACTCAGTGACATTGTATATTTTACAATTTAATAAAAATATTTATATTTCGACATATCGCATAAGTTAAAGACTGTTACCACTAGTGCGCCGAAATAATTGCAAAATAAGACAGCTTCCGTAATAATCAATTCAGCAAGCCTAACGCTGACGTGACGTATGCAGTGTCATTTTTCAATAATAAATTGGGAAAGTGTTCTAAGCGCTCGAATTTTTGTGCTTCATCAGTCCGACAGCAAAACATAACGCCCATGTTAACGTAATGGAATGTAGAACGTGCGTTTGCTAACCAATCAATTTCGTGACAAATATCTTCGCAAAATACAATGTCGTCCTTTTTATAGAACTGCAAAAGATAAACAAAACGTAATTTTTACGAAAGCGAAATCAGTGAGAGAAATGACATTCGTCCGAAGTCGAATTTCGGTTATCCATCACCACCAGTACCTTCTAAAATCCTTTAAAATGTTTACTAATGGTTACCGTGTCAGAGAAGAGAATATTTAGATCACTCTTCATTGAACTCACAAATGACTGTCGAATCAGCAGTAATTTACGGTGACATTTAAGCCGGTATTTGCTGTTTGTAGTTCAGTTACCGATGACAACAATGTTAGAGTTTCAATTCTCTCAGACTTTTACGGATAATTCGAAATTTCTTACTTATTTACGGACTTGGTTATACGTAGACTAAAAAAAGTTTTCGAGTGAATCAATAATTAATGAACCGCTTCGTCTGCATATTTTACACTTTGAGGGTAATATGGGCACTGTGTACCTATTTGATGTCATTTGAAGCCATTGAAAATCCCCTAGGTGATGAATATATGTGTAGGCATTGTCTTTAACCTCATAAAACGGTGAGTTGAATGCTATGATCGCAAACTCTTTGCTTGTATTCTCTATCGGCTCCAAATAATTCCAGATGTAAGCCGGTATATGACGATCGTATTTATCCACTAAAACCTTCATTTCGGTAGTGTTGTCGCAACCACTGCTATCCGGCACTTCTAGTTTTCCTCCAACACCGCTAATAACATTATAAGCGGCCTTGATTGTATGCTTCTCCAAAGCGTTTCGATATTTCTTCCAGTTACCTAAACGTAAGTTTGACCACCAAGTTACATTTACTAGAGAGCTAAATTTTTGTGTTATGTCTTTTAACTTAATATTTTCAACGAGCGGAGCATAATGAAAGTTTCCGAAAGTAAACCAATCTTGAAATTGTTTATCCTCAAAGAGAAGAGGCGTTAACCTAAAGAAAAGCGAAAGTATATTTTCCCTTGTTTACATTAAATATTTGCCGTCCGGTATACATGTCCAACTTACCCTTCTTCCTGTATAGACCGAAAATTTTTAACTTCCTTTCCAAAAGAGTAGTTTCTAAGGTCAAATTTTGTCTATAACGGAAAGCATTCATAATTAACATCTAATTTAAGATAGGGAAAGGGATAAGAAAAAATACTTTACTTTAATAAAATTGAAGTCATCGGGTTGTGTGTTGTATGCGATCGAACTTAATAGAAATCTTTCAGTATCGTAGCATAATCCAGCAATGTGTGTTGGCGATTTATTCACGTTTTTCTTTCCTATTATATACGAAGCGGCAAATTCTGGGCACCAACGAAATGCTTCTAAGCTTTCGTATAAATTCCATGCGACTTTTTTGCATTCAAATTCTACACCGTGACCGTGATCCTTCGCCAGTGTCCATCGTTGCATCTAAGTTTTACGTTGACATGAGCAGACAGTTGTTGGGGACTTCAAAAAAAAAATGCATAGGCATGCTTTAATGATCAAAGTTTTTTAAGTAACGTAATATAACTTACGAAAAAAATCCACTCAGACAATGTAAAGTAATTGTTTCAGCCTCCTCAGCATATATGTAATAGCTATCCTTTAGCGAGTGATATGATTTTAAAATCGTACGACTACCGAACGTTCTTTCAAATATCGGCCGAAGTGCGGGATCACTAGGAAGCCTTAGTAAACATTTCTCACTTTTCACTCGAACAAAGCAAAGACCAGCGAAGAGCAAAATTAATAACGGGCATCGAAGCAAAGGCATAACGATTCAATTTAATCGTAAACCTTCAATAACAAAATATTCCAACTGATTGGCGGAAAATGCTTCTAAGCATTCATTATAAAGACTTTCGAAATTCACTCAATACTTTATCATCAATGAAACAAAAAATGCTTAGTAATGTGATTTTTCTACGCGTTGCAGAAAATGTATTAAATTTGTTAAAGGTTTGTAACGCATAGATGTATTCATAGGAGAACGTACAAAATCTTCATATTGTTGATCGAATTGAAAAACGTATTTGAGTTATCTACCGTCTGTCTGCCTGCTAACGCCATATGGCTATGGCATCATAACTTTACAGTAAGCGATATAATCGGCGTAAAGAAATCAACTAAACGATCGAGAAGGCATACGTGAATCTCAGTTTGTATAATCCTTCGTAAGCCGTTGCTACTTGCTATTTTACAACTACATAGAAATATAATTTCAAGTCTCATATGCTGCCTGAGATTGTTTTGAAATCAAATCTTATATATATATAGAATATATTCCTTATCAAATACTTATTCCCATTTCGTGTAATTTTGTTGACATTTTATAACCTTTTTCCATATCAGCACAAGTCCACTTTAGCACAGGTTTGCATAATGAAAACAAGAACGTGATGCTTTAAGAAAATTTAAAACTTTACCTTATCTCTTATTCACAATTAAAGAGGGGAATTCCCAATTTCGAAAAAATGCTCTCACCTTCTTTCGGAAAATGTTTACAGAAATATTCTGTTCATTTTAAAACAGATACACAAACAAAGCTTGACCGGCGAATTATAATAAATTCTTATAAAGTTTTTATGTTCATTTTTTAAATGTATTTAATCACTGAAAATGATTCGCTCATCACTTTATGCATGCATTTTAGTCATTTATTTATTTATTTATTGATTTACTTAGCCATGAAACTCAGCTAAATTCAATTAACAGCCGATTTCAATTGAATCTTATACTAATTAATGTTAAAAACTAATACATAGCACAAAGCTTGGCAACTGATAACAGTAACCAACAGCAGTTAATTTTCGAATCATCATGAAATCTGAAGATTGCAAGTTAGTTTAAATACGACGTAGACAAAGAGCGGCTATTAAGCAAAGTTGTTTTGATAGACATTAAAGAATCCGATATTAAGATTAAGCGATAGATATCACTAGGGTTCCTGCAAACAACGATTAGGGACATTAGAGATTATCTCTAGTATCTCAAGTAATGTGGGCGAATCGATAGTAACATGTATTAACTTAATTAAGAAGGAAACACCAAGAGTAAAGCTACGTTTTTCAAATGATGGTAAGGATAGCAGAAGCAACCCATTTTCATAAGGAGGCAGACAGACAAGCGAGTCGCAACTCAAATTCCTAAGGCCAAATAACAGGAATTGCTTTGAAAGGGATTCAATTGAATCTGCATAACACCTACAGGAAGGAGTTCACACAACAGAGTATTCAAGTACTTATTTGTAATGCAAGGATCCTTAAGCTCCATGGACTAGCTCTTAATGAAACCTAGCGCGGACCTAGCTTTACTTAAAGAGGGCTCAAGGGGCAAATTAAACCGTGATCTTTGGTCGAATAGAATCCCTAGATCGATAAACAAATCAACGTTTTTCCACTTGTGTGAATCACTGAAATACTCATTATTGAATAACTTCCCCTTTGAGAAAGAAAGCTTCTTGCATAGAAGTTATAATTTCATAAAATTTAACGAGCACCATGTAACTCAACCATTTAAGTTAGCTTGAAGCTGACACGAGCTGCCATTCTAAGGACAAGGGAAAAAACATTTTAACATAGTCAGCATGTGTTAGGATTTGGCTGGATTTAATCAACGAGCGGTGATCATTCATTTATAGATGAAATAACACGGGGTTCTAAGCGGCTGCCTTGAGGGACGTCAGACGCCACGGAAAATTTATCCAAAGTGATGAAGTTTCACTGAGTATAAAGGGAAGCCAGCATTCTGGAGTTTAAAGATCGACAAATATGATGAACTAAGTCAAACGCTTAATAAATGAGTGATGTTTGACTCGATGCCAGCCAAAAAAAAAAAAAAAACAACGCAAAATCATAGCGGGGGCTACATATATACAGCTTTAAGATATAAGATGTATTTTGAGCTTCTATACTATACTATTTCAGCATTTTAGACACAACCCCAACTCAATATTAGTCGTGTTTCCGCAACACACGAGCGGGCATAACGACTGGCATTGCTAAATGAATCTAGAGTCTGACACAACCCACGAATTTACGTACTTTCCGGTTGTAGCTCTCGGGACGTACCACAACTCGTAGCGTATTCCTTTCTTTCCGATATAAACGGAAAGCATCAAGTTATACAAGGGCACTTGCCCAACTTATTAGTATTGACATCTGCAATAGCAAAAAAACAATATTTAACTGATCAACAGTCTGTTGGTGACGGTCTCTCATTTAGCCATGTTTAAATACACAATCACATCTTATTATTAGTTCTTATGTTATTGTTATTATCGTACAATGAATTTTTAAAATGTATTAATAGAGTAGCTTGTCTCAGCGAAATGCAATGTTTTCGTCATATTATGAAGAGACAAAAAATTTGGAATATTTAATTATAAAATTTTTTTCTAGAGAAAGCCAAAGGCTAAAAATATTATTAACATTTTCTTTCTTTTCTTTGGCTCTCCTCATAACAAAACCGTTACCAAAACCGCTGCTACAACTGAGCTATGTCTATGGCAATCCTTTTGCACGCATTTTCGCAAAGGATATCACGAAAAAAGGACCAGTTTGACAAAACGACAATTTTTATATTCATCATCTCAAGCTAAACGGTATACTAATTACGTCATCGTGTTTATAATATCATGAAATTGCATTAAAATTTATCTGCGTCCATCTGTCGTTAATGAGAACTCTCGCTAATATCAAATCTAATATAGTTGAGATAATTTAGTCAATCACTCTCACTTCTCCTGTTAAATAATTTACTATTATCCTTGTAAATCTATTACATAGAGACGGAGTCATAGGTTACGTAAAATATGAACTTTTTCACATTTAAAGGAAAGCTATATCGATCTATTCCGAAAGGCATTCAACGACCACAGAGATCTAACGTGGTTGCTAGACATTGATCAGTTAAGTGTTTCGAGATTTCTTTTGGAAGTTTTCGACGACAAACGGATTTTATTTTCGCTACCAGTTTGTACAAACCAAAATTGATTAAATATACCCAAAAAGCAATTTTTCCTATTCAATAAATTCTTTTTATAAATTTTAATTGTGAATGTGAGGCATGAAAGGTTCGACCTATATGATGGCTATAGTTTTCTCTCCTATTATTATTACATGTACACATACATACATATAAAAATATACACTTTTTGTTGCAAAAATTTTTTTATCTTTTAGTTTTACTGACAATGTCACACAAGTTAATTAATTAAAAAAGTTTGAGATGAAAAAATTTTCATATTTTTCTCCTTTTTTTTTTTGCTGTTGGTATAGAATCACAAATTCATATAACGGTTGGGAAAAATATAACAATAGAGGGAAGATTTAGGAAAAAAAAAAAACAATTTATATGAAAATTATATGAATGCTGACCGTTGATGAAAGCAGTTACATTATAAATTGACATTCTTGCATACTAACGAAGAAAATCAGTACATGACAGCTTATGCGCTGCAACAGCTAGCACACTTGCTTCGTCTTCATACTGCGAGCTATGCTAAACGATTTATCAGAGAAGGTTTAAGCCTTCGTTTGGCAGGTTTTGTACATAAGTTGAAGCGTTAAAGTCGGATTAAACCGAGTATTAAACTATAGCAGCAAATTAAAAACAAATGTTGCTTTAACAACTTTTTCTTAAATGGAAGAAAAACAAATAAAACCATAATATTGAGAAGAGGCTCAAGTATTTAAAAAAGGATATTTTTTCGGAGGATCTTTGCAATTATCGAGCCATTCTCGCGACACATCCGTAACTTAAAGGTCGCCAGGCTAGCAGCCTGCTTGGTGCATGTTTGAATCTGGAAAAAAGGGATCATTTCATCTACATGTCTACAGCGAGTGTAGTGAGTAGACTTTTATTATTACTATTTTGTATGTGATCGTGCGGGCGAAGGGATTATATCGCTTGTGCACATACACAAAGTGATTCAAAACGAGTGTTTCAAAACATGAGTTTGGGTCAATACTCGCGATGGCGCTTGCATAAATCCCCGCAACTGAACTTATATAGGGTGACTGAGCACGCACCCATTAGGCTGCGGCCGCTTCCCCTATCTCTTTCTCTTTCTACTAAAATATTATATTTAACGGGATATATAAAAGATGGGAAAAGTTTTCCGGAATAAAACTGATCCGATCCAATTCCTATTCATTAGCATTCATTCTTGTGCTGTGCCCTACTATATACACTAAACATATTTCTAAAGAGGCAGATGTCAGACGGCGAGACAAGCTTAAAGCGATTCAAAGTATGTATCTCAAAACATGGGTCTGGGTCAATAGCCGCAATTGCGCAACATTGCCACAACTGAACACATATTCGAAGAGAATCCCTTTAGAGATCTCTGTGGTATGTGATAGGGCTTTGCATCTAGATTTTCATCACAGCTAAAAGAAATTTTGCGAGTATTTCGTACTAGAGAAAATAGTAATTTACTACTTAGGCTAGATCCACTTTCCGGTCCTGTCATTTCTATAATGGGAATGGAACAAATGAAAAGTTATCTTGATTCTCAGAAACAAGATCTCAATTCTTTATTATAACACACAATAGATGAAATGCTTTTATCGATAAAATTCAGTACAATAACGTTAAGAATCATAAATAATAACAACACTATACTAATTTTCCGAGTT